TAGTGGCATTACAGAGCTACCCTGACTGGTGAAAATGGCAGGGTGTGCCCACCTTGTCTAGACAAAGGAGATCCCTGTGGAGATGAGAGGTAAGAGCGGAGTGAAATGTTGTTTGGGATCTTCTCCTGCCATCTGCTCTTGAGAGCAGACCTCAGAGCTAACATCAACACTACTCTCCAGCTCTGCCCCCCGCACCCTGTGATTTAACCAAGGTGAGGGGATTTGTGTGCCTTCCTACTAATTATCCCCTCGGTGAGAAAATGAGAAGAAAGTGTAGGCTGATCACAGAGTCTTCCCCTCCACGATTACACTGGGAATTAGATTGCCCTGCGGGGCTGCCAAATCTCTGCAGAACTCTGCCGCAGGTGATAGGGAGGAGGCTGTGGCTCTGCTCTCGGCAGCCCACTACCGAGCAAGGGGCCAAGGCACATAGGCTGGGCCCAGAGCACCGTAATCCCTCTCCAAACAAGAGGTGACTCATAGAACATGAGGTGCCCAGTGGTTACCCTGACACACTGTGCTCTCACCAGGAAGAGCCCGGCTCAGCGGAGGGAGCGCCAGATGAGGCTGCAATTCCAAGGAGCTCTTCACCCTCTATCACCCTCTGCAATGCTAAAGGGCACGGGGGCGGGGACAATGACAAACATCTCCCCAAGGCAGTTCCTCCCAAGGTTCCCCAAGCACAGAAACCAGTCATACCGAACTCCCCACAGCGTCTCTGTATTTACCGCTTGCTACTGAGAAATGCAAAGCCCTTTTCAGATCTCATTCCACATGCTATAGTCTGGGTAACAGCTCTCTTTGGGGGTAACAGAGGAGTGGACAGTCATTATCCTTATGTCCCATAGCAAATGGAAATGAGGCAAAGAGATATTAAATTAAGATTTTTTTTATTCCTACAGCACTTTGCACTGTACAAAACACATTCATATATACCCTGTCACCCTGACTGAGCAGGATCGCTCCGTTCCATTTTACAAATAAGTAAGTAAAGCTCTGAAGAAATGACTTACCTGGAGGACAGACTGATAGGAATCTGCGCCATAACCCCAGGGGGGATTCAGTTTCCCCAACCGGAACCATCCAGCCTCAAAGCAGGGCACTCCCAGAGGTTGGCACTGCCACAAGCCTGGTGCCAGGCAGAGGGCAGGGCATCACCTGGCTGGAGGAGCTCTCAATAGCTCAACTGAAAGCATTTTTTTCTTCCTTTTGAGACCAAGTCTCACTCTGTCACCCACGCTGGAGTGCAGTGGCACGATCTCGGCTCACTGCAGCCTCCGCCTCCCGGGTTCAAGCGATTCTCCTGCCTCAGCTTCCCAAGGAGCTGGAATTACAGGCACACCACCACGCCCAGCTAATTTTTGTATTTTTAGTAGAGATGGGGTTTCACCATGTTGGTCAAGCTGATCTCAAACTCCTAGCTTCAAGTGATCCACCCACCTCAGCCTCCCAAAGTGCTGGAAATACAGGTACGAGCCACCACGCCCGGACAACTGAAAGCATTTTTAAATTCCCTGCTACTGGAGTAAATGGAGAAATGTCACAGGTTGAAAAATACTTGTTCATTCTCCTAAACTTTGTCTTTCCTTCTCCTCCTTCTATTCTGGGACCCAGGACGAGTTAAAGACTTTTCAAAGCCAGAACTCTACCCTGTTTGCACACGTCAGGATGTTCAGGAAGAGCCTCATGGGTCACCACAGCTCAGGATGCATCCAGACACTGTCTCCACGGCCTGCGGAGCTGCTCTCTGAGGACTCACTTCACTGCCTCTCCTTTCCCAGGCTCCTGGAGATATACCACCTGTCACCTCTGGGCCTGGAGGGCAGATGGAGGTGAGATGTGAAGGAAGACTGCGTCATCAAAGCAGATGGAAGCATTCCCTAGCACCTGGGCCATCCTGGGTCCTAGCTTGATTACTAAAGAACAGGGAGATTTCAAAGTAAAATGTCCAGCAACTTGTTTACAGAACATAATACTGTGGGCACACAGCAGTTATCTGTAAGCATGCATTATCTGTTAAAGACATATGAACTTTATCCTCAAGCTCTGCCTGCTACACATCTTGTTTTAAATCCCTTGTATATATGCTCGTATGCATCCTCTATACACATCTGTACAGAAAGTCTGGGGGGTAACCTAGCAAATAAATTAACTACGGTGACTTGAGGCACTGTCAGGTTTGGGAACTGGCTGGAAAAGGGTTTGGAAGTTTCACTGAAATTCAGGTCATCCATTTCTCAGTGGTGTTCTCTTAACAAGTTGCTTTACCTTTCTCAGACTCGCTGGCAACTAGGAAATGGGGAGAATGACACCGGCCTCGCAGGACTGCTGTGAAAGCCAGAGATCATACACCTCATATGCTGGCACACAGCAGACACTCAGTAAATGCTATCTATAACTATTACTACTGTAAAAGAGAACGGGGCTGGGTGTGGTGGTTCACACCTGTAATCCTAGCACTTTGAGAGGCCAAGGCAGGCGGATCACCTGAGGTCAGGAGTTTGAGATCAGCCTGACCAACATGGCGAAACGCTGTCTCTACTAAAAATACAAAAATTAGCCAGGCTTGGTGGCACACACCTGTAATCCCAGCTACTCGGAAGACTGAGGCAGGAAAATCACTTGAACCGGGGAGGGAGAGTTTGCAGTGAGCCAAGATTGCACCACCAGACTCTAGCCTGGGTGACAGAGTGAGACTCTGCCTCAAACAAACAAAAAAGAGGATGGTTGCCAAAAAGCCATACCTCTACCCTCCCTGTAGCCATGGAAACTGCCTCTTGTTGAATAAGAGCATCCCTCCTCATTCTCCAGTCCCAGATTTGCCTTTGAGTCTCTGGTATAAACTCTGGTGTAGGGACCAGTTAGTTCCTCATGAGGACCACGTGTGCTGGCTATTCCAACACACCTGTTCCCCACTTGCAACCTCAGATCCATTGTATCTGTTCTGGTGACTAACCTCTGTGGGCTGCTTCCCCAGGGCTTCACGCCCTTTGGCATCAGGCTAGGATCTGCCAGTTGGAAACACCAGCACCAGATCTGGGAATTTATTCTTCCCTATCTCCCCACTTGGTCAAATCTCTACAGTGGCTTTGTCCTTTCTGTCACCATAGCTCCTGTTGGGCAGCCCCTCTTCTATGATTTCAGCACTTGCTTCCTCTGTAGGTGGTCTCTTCATTAAGCTCTCTCCAGATAAACATTTTTAGGGCACCATCTGCTTCCTGCCAGGACCCTAACCAAAACAGGGGAGGTTTTCTTGATGCAAACTGTAACACTGTTACAATGACTTTAGAACAACGAGATGTTAAAAATAATGATAAGCTGTGGAGGCAGACTAATAATGTCTGCCTAGTTCAGGCTAGGGCTCTGATTTTCATTACTTGAACCTCCAAGAATTAAAGTAACTTTCATCTAATAAGAAAGTCGGGAAGACAATAAAAAATAGCCTGAGCCTAGAGATCTTGTCTTTTCCTTCAGTGAGGGGCCCGTTTTGCAACTCTCCAAAGCAACAAGAACCTTGCAGCAGGAAAGAGAACTTGTTTCATCCCTGATGGACACTTACTCTGTGTCAAACATCATGTAAGCTATACTATATAAACCGTCTCATTTGGAGCTGATAACAACTTGGTGAGGTATACCCATTTTTCAGAAGAGGAAATAGAGTCATAAAGATAGTAAGGACCCTGTTCGAGGTCACACAGCTGGTCAGTGCAGAATCAGGGTTTGAACCTGAGAAGTCTGGCTCTGGAATCTGGGTAGCCTGAACCAATGCTTAGGTGCCTCCTCCCTGGAAAGGGGGCTGAGAGCAATGAGAAGTGAAGCAGGGAGGCAAGCTCAGCCTCTCTTCCTAACAGCCTCAGCTGCTGAAGGTGTGCTCGCATCCATGAGATGCCCCCACTGGGGAAATGGGGCTGTGGGGGCATATTTCAGCCACCGACCAGGATCATCAGCCACAGAGACAAACCAGAAGTGAAGGAGTGTCTGTGAAAACAAAACTATAAAGAACCACAGCTTCGGAAGACAAAGTGGGTCCATGATAAACTAGGATTCTCTGCAACATTATCCAGTACCAAACTAAATCCTGCCTGAACCCCTCAGTCTGCAAGACAGATCCCTCTTTATACTTGTAAAATTCAATGGCACATAGCATGAGGGCAAACATCCAAAGCTTAAAAATGACCTAGAAACTCTGAACAGCATTGAGAAGGAAGAACAAATGTTGTCAACACACTGGGTAATTTCATCCACAGAGAAACGAGCAGTAACTTCATCACTTTCAGAAGAAACCAATCTCTTGGGCCAAATAACCAAAACACCAAGAACGTCTTTCCAATGCCAAGAATCTTTCCAATGCCATTTCCAAACTGTGCCTGTAATTCAGCACTTGTTAACAGACCCATATTCCACCTGCAAAGAATGCCAGCATTCCATCTTATGCCTACTGGAAAGTTTAATAAATGAGGTATAGTGCATTGCCGATTGACGTATCACTCAACCAAGGCACAACAGAATAAACACTTAACTGCAAAATGATTTGTAGTCTGGATACAGTGGCTGAGTCTTGATTCTCATTCTGTTTCACGTAACGTTTGCTTTTTTCTGCTTAAATCTACCTCCCTCTTATTGAAAACGCAAGATGCGTGGGTAGTAGGATGAAAGATTCAGCCTTGTGCATATTTACACATAGTTCAGTAATCCCAGGAGAAAATAAATTGACAGAGAATGGTATTTATACCAAACAGTCAGAAAACAACATATTAAGATACACTGTCAAATGGTTACCCAGTATGAATGATCTGCCAACCAAGGATCCAATTTGTGTATACATCTTCCCCAATGCAATTTCTAGCCACTTTGGGTTCTAGTTTTTTGACTGGATAACAACACCTGAATTCATTCTGCAAAGCAAGCCAGCTGCAGCGATTTTTAAAAGGACTTTAAAAGTGGGCTTGGGTACACCAACAGTGATTTGCAAAGCCCTCTGGCTTAGAGTTCCATCTTACCAGTCGAGTCAGCCCCAGAAGCCTGACCACTCGTCTGCTCCTCAGCATTGATGAGCTGCAGGTCTGTATACGAACATCCAAAGCTAGGACTGCTGGTGTCTTCAGAATGGGTGGTCCAGCTGCTCTCAGAAGTCAGAGGGCATCTCCCCAGGGAGTCAAAGGAAGGGCATGTCCAGCAGGGTATGGTCAATGGTAGGGCTGGGGAGAGACCAAAAAACCAAAAGCATACAATATAAATAGTTGTACTTTGTCTTTAGTGCTTATCTTACTTTGACATTGCTCACATCCTATGAAATCTCAACAGTCACACAAGGCAAGGAAGTCTTGTATGGAGAGTATCACTCATGACACAGACAGAGAAAACTGATTGACTGAGACCCCATGGTGAATCAGTATCAAAACAAGTATGAAAAGTAAGGTCCCAGTTGGGCGCAGTGGCTCACGCCTGTAATCCCAGCACTTTGGGAGGCTGAGGCGGGTGGATCAAGAGGTCAGGAGATCAAGATCATCCTGTCTAACACGGTGAAACCCCATCTCTACTAAAAATACAAAAAAAAAAAAAAAAAAAGTGGCGGGCGCCTGCAGTCCCAGCTACTCGGGAGGCTGAGGCAGGAGAATGGCGAGAACCCAGGAGGTGGAACTTGCAGTGAGCCGAGATCGCCCCACTGCACTCCAGCCTGGGCGGCAGAGTGAGACTCCGTCTCAAAAAAAAAAAGAAAAAAAAAAAAAGAAAGAAAGACAGAAAAGTAAGGTCCCAGGACTCTCCAATCAAAGAAAATCTCACTAAAGGAACACAAGTTACTTCAGGGTCTAATTTTACTTCTTAACTTACATTTCAGCTTATTTCAAGCCAAAACTACAGGAATCTTGCAGTTTCACCCTTACTGTTACATTTCTTCCATTTGTAGTAGCACAAAAAAACTCACCAATTTACACTGAAACATTAGGGCCAGTTTAGGTTAAAGGATAAAGAGTAGACATATAACTATATATGAACATGTATGTGGCATGCCCCTGCTTGCTTTGAGTTGACTGTAACTGGAGATTCTGCTGACTGTCACGTATACAAATGGAGATTTGCTGAGGCTGCCAACCTGCATGCAATACAATGAAAAATACCTTTAAGGGGAAAATGGACAAAGCTCGGTTTTTATCTCCTTAGCCTTGAGAACCAAATCAGACTTTATAAACTACTTTAGAAAGGTTTTTTAAAATCTTTCAAATTTGAAACTTTCAAATTCTCCTAATTTGTCTTTAGTTAATTTCCTATCACACGCTGTCTCCACGGTGCTGCATAAAAATCATATCATTATGGCCAGGCACGGTGGCTCACACCTGTAATCCCAGCACTTTGGAAAGCCGAGGCGGGTGGATCACCTGAGGTCAGGAGTTCAAGACCAGCCTGCCAACGTGGCGAAACGCCGTCTCTACTAAGAAAAATACAAAAATTAGCTGGGCATGGTGGCGGGTGCCTGTAATCCCAGCTACTTGGAAGGGTGACGCACAAGAATCGCCTGAACCCGGGAGGCGGGCATTGCAGTGAGATTGTGCCATTGCACTCCAGCCTGGGCAACAAGAGAGAAACTATTGCAAAAATAAAGTAAAAACAAAAAAAGAATCATATCATCGCAAATTTACCAACAGGTACTGAAACAAGTGCTGAAAATAGCCTAGATAAGACAGGAAGAATGAAAACAAGAAAAACTGCCATGTATTGAGTACCCATCAAATGTCAGGTATTTTACAAATGTCTTGTTTCATCCGTCTATCCTGAGAGATAGGCAGTAGTCTTATTTTAACTCAACGACATTAAGAAACTTGCCCAAGATGATAAAGTCAGTTCTCCTGCCAGGAAAACTAAACAAGTAGAAAAAGAAAAATTGAGATTTAAGAGAGAAGAAAGCATAAACATCAATGCTTCCAATAGTATAAAACTTTTCATTCCTTATTCTCTTAGGCATTTGTAAAGCATTTAGGTCCTTTTTCTGGAGTGCTCATCGCTCATATCCTCTTCTTTAAAAATGTCACCCTTTCTGCATATTCCTGAGCTATTCTCTCCAAAGAAGCAAGGTCCCTTTCCCTGCTTTATTTCTCCTTAGTGTTATCACTGTCTAATGTGCTACATGCCCATATCTTCCATACTAGAATCCAAGTTTCTTGATGGGGGCAGGGATTTTTATCTATTATGTTCACTTCTATAACCCCATTCCTAGAATAGTACCTGGTATAAAGCAGACATTCAACAAATATTTGTTGGTTATATCAACAGAAGCACCACGAATCATTCCATAACAGTCTATACTAAACACAGAATATTAAAATTGGACTGGTATCTATGACCCTCACCCCAAACACAGAAAAACATTAAAATACTAAAAAAGAAGAAAAAACAAATTTTTTTATAAACCAACCAAAATTAAAAAGCAAAGCCAAATTTATAAAAGTTTGCTATATGATGCCATTTCCTATAGTATGGTGGTTTAGATACTTTAAACTACTATGGAAACAAAATTAAAATATTTGTGAAACGTAATAACATTATTTAAAATACTTCACAGGGTGAGCAACAAAGTAAAGAATCATCAGAGGCGGAGTGAAAGCTGCAACCCCAAAAGAGTAAACAGAGGACACAAGCTGACTTTCACTCTCAAGATTTTGAACAAACCAGACTCTTGAGTTTTCGAAACCTCTTATGAAGAAGGCAAATGATAAAGAACCTAGGGCCAACCGAAGATGGGGAACAGAAGAGCTGATGCATAAAGTGAGAATTCCTAAAAGGCTTACAGGGTAAGTTAGACATAACCTCCACCCCCTAGCTGGAGATAGCAAAGAAAATTGTCTAACTTAGGATTGCACGAAGAATAGAGGAAAAAATATCTCCTGAGAATTAATAACCACAAATTGTCTCACACAGGGGTGTGCAGCTAAAACTACTTGTGTGGTCTGAAAAATCTCCAAGTTGAGACTAGTTTAAGTATTTCCTGGTTAGTAGCCTCAGGCATCCAGGAAAAGCAAATACTATAATAATGCCTTTTTTTTTTTGAGACAGAGTCTTGCTTTGTTGTCCAGGCTGGAGTGCAGTGATGCAATCCCAGCTGACTGCAATCTCCACCTTCTGGGCTCAAGTGATTCTCATGCCTTTGCCTCCCAAGTAGCTGGGACTGCAGGCTCCTGCCACCATCCCTGGCAAATTTTTTTGTGTATTTTTAGTAGTGACGGGTTTCACCATGTTGGCCAGGCTGGTCTCTAATTCCTGACCTCAAGCGATCCATCCGCCCGCCTCTGCCTCCCGAAGTGTTAGGATTACAGGAATGAGCCACCACGCCCGGCCAGTAATCCTTTCTGGAAGGAAGATACCTTCAAACCAGCCTCCTCAGACAGAATGTTCCTAAGTTGATGTGCACATAATAAATAAATAAATCACAAAATGCGTAAGAAATCAAGTTACCATGAACAAGAACCAGCAAAGCGTGTGAATGGGTGGGGTGAAAAGGCAGAATGAGATCTGCGAAGAATTTTCAGACACTAGAATTGTTGAGCAAAAAGCACAATTATGTTTAATCTGTTTAAGGAAATAAGAAAAGAAATTAAAAATATGAAAAAGGAGCATGTAGAATTGAAAAAGAACTAAATAAACTTCCAGAGAAGAAAAAATATACTACTGTAAATACAAAATTGAATGGATAACATAGACAAAAAGATGAAAATATCAAAGAGAGATTGAGACACATGGAGGGCAGCGTGAGACAGTCTCATAGATACCTAATCTGAGTTCCTAAGGAGAGGAGAAAGAAAATGATAGAGGGGCAATATTTGAAAAAAATACTGGTTGAAAATTCCCCAGAATTTATGAAAGATTTTACTTGTCAGATTAGAAATTCCAAGGCATCTCAAGCAGGGTAACTAAAAACAAATCTACAAATAGACACCAAAACTACATACGACCAAAAACAAAGAAAAGATCTTAACAGCCATCAAAGAGAAAATACACATTACCTTCAAAAGAAGAATGTTTAGACCGACTACCACCTCTTTCCATAGCAGGAGAAGCCAATGTGCACTTCAGTGTATAGACAGAAAAATAACTATGAAGTTAGAATTACATACCCAGTGAAATATCTTCACAGAACAAGGGAAAAAATAAAGACAATTTAGACAAACAAAAACTATAAATACCCCTAAAGTAGGAAAGAAAGGTGAAATAAATGGAATGTAAGATGTTAGAATTAAAACTATATCAGTACTTAAAAATAAACATAAATGGACTAAACATTCCAGATAAAAGAAAAAAGACTGTCAGGTTGAATCAACAAATGAAATTTAACATGGTATGTACAAAAAATATATCTAAAATATAAATGATTAAAAATGATGGAAAGTAAAGGGATGGGAAAGCCATATAAAACAAAATGTTAATGAAAAAAGCTCACAGAGTTATGGATTATGGATGGACTTTACAACAAAATGACAAAAAGCACAATTCATCAGAAATATAATAATTCTAAACTTGGATATATTTATTAACATAGCCTCAAAATTATTAATGCAAAAATTGACAGAACTGTAAGAAAGCAAGAAATGTCCACCATCATAATGGAAGATGTTAAAATACACCTCTCAGTTATTGACATATCAAGTAAGCAAAAATACCAGCAAGCAAATGAAACTTTAAACAACAAAATGAACACGCTGATCTAATCTAATGATCATAGAACATTACACTCAACTGGTGAAGAATGCATATTTTTTATAATAACACCAAGAATTTTTATGACAAGTGATAACATGCTATCACTTGACATGAAGCAAGCTGTAATAAATTTCAAAAAATTGGTATACAGACCACAAATACTGATCACAATAAAATTAAGTATCTGGTTATCTAACTAGTTGTCTGGTTAACTAGTATCTAGATTTTTAAAAACTGGAAAATTTAAAAATTAAGAAACATACTTCTAAATAAGTCACTGGTCAAAGAAGAAATCTTAATAAATATTAGGAAATATTTTGAGTCAAGCAGTAATGAAAATACTATATGTGAAAATTTTAAGAATATATGTAAGCAATATAGTCAGCTTATATTAGAAGACAACTGAAACTTAATACAATAAGCTCCCAACTTATTAAGATAAAAAAGTAGAACAAAATAAAAGAATGTTAGAAAAAGGAAAAAATACAAAAGCATAAATTATTAAACA